ACATGCAGTGGTTTTTGACACACCACCCAAATCCCCAGCAAAACTTAAAAAACTTCCAGTGTCATAAAATCTTAACGCAATTAAAACTTGATGTGTGGGACTCAAACAATCATTTCTAAAAAAATATGATTCCCATATTAGGTACACTTATTTATAATTTGCTACCATACATAAAGGTATACCTTTCAATAGGATACTTAATTGTGTCTTCAATTTCTGTGACAATGTTTTGGACAACTCCTTTCGGCAAACGAAATCTCCGGAAGAAGTCAATTTCGTCGTATTCTTCATAAAAGTTTGGATGCACTCTTATAATTTTAGGACGCCTTACGGGACCTTCTCCTTCAACATCGCTAAACGCGTTTATAAGATCTAAATAAAGGGGATCAAAATTCATTTTCACCGGATAAATTCTAAACACTAGTAAATACGGCTGTTTATAAATATATTAAGATTTTGAGGTTATGAATTGGAGTTTACCTCTGCTCTTAGTAGCGATTAACTTAACCGACAATAAACTTGTGATAATCTTTTAACTTCAGGTTAACTCAAGATTGCAGGTAATCTTAAGTTTATCTGATATTGAAGAACCGGCCCTAAGAGACTAAATTACAGAAAAAATAATTATCGATGAATAAAACTATGTTTAAAATAACTACAAATTAAAAGTTGAAGACTATGTAAAATGCTTGACTCAAAAGTACACAAAGGTGTAATGGAGTGTAGTGAAGGCTATGTTCTTTAACATTAATATAACTAGTTAGGAGTACGACCTTTTCGCAGTTGGGGCTCTGGTAAAGGGTGTTTCCACATTGGTTGGCTTTCGATGTTGAAATCTCCTATCATGTCAGATTGTACAGGATGACTTTTCATTAACGTAAGAACTTGCCATCATCAAAACAACTTCAGGGTAAAAACCATTCCCTTACCACAAATCTGACATAAAAAGTCTAACGTAAAAAAACTCCAGCATAAAAAAATCCTTACTTAAAAGCGGTACTTAAAACCTGTACTTAAAACCCAAAAAAAAAATAGTATTACGCCTAAGCATCTTGAAAAACTACAAAACGTCAAACTTACCCTTGGCCTAAGAGGTTTTTAATCTTTTAAAATTAACCTTCCTACGCTGGAAATAGCTCGACAAAACTTTGAAAAATAAAACACATCGCTGCCTAAAAAGGAGAAACGCGTGGGTAACAGAAATAGATTCACTCAAAAAAAACTATTAACTCACCCTGAGTTTTCGTACGACACAATCAATGCTTTATCAGGCACTGTGCCATTAAACCAGGATAATTACTATACACCTTTGGAATTCTTTGCACATTCTAAGCCAAAGCTTACTCCCAACCAAACGGCTTCAGCGATCAAACGGAAAAGAAAGCGTAAACCTTGTTAAGTGTGTAGAAGATTATTTAAACAAAAACTCAACAGTGTTGCCTATGTCGAGCAACTAAAAACAAATGAGCAACTAAAAACAAACGAAAACTCACTGGAGTGTTCTGGGTTGCATACTATCAAAACAAGGTAATAAATTAAAGAAAACACGCTCAAAAACAAAACTAGACACCGTCAACATTCCAAACGACGAGCCATCCGTGTCGGTAAAAGAAACTTCAATAAAACTAATTAAATTCTTTTTGGAAAGAGGCAACTAAACAAATATCATTATTAAAAATATACTTAACAATTAGTCAAACTAAAAATAAACCACTTAACAGTTCACATCTATACCGTTCTAGATGTACAAAAACTAATAAAATAAAATCAATGTGTACTGTCAAAATGACGGTTAAAATATATTATTAATAATTTAATTATATTTTATTTAGATTTTTATTTTGTTTTGTTTTAAAGTCGAAAAATAACTGGATAAGTTACCTATGTTAAGTTCTTTAATATTCAATATATACCTCTTCTACTAATAATTTATAGTTTTTTTAAGTGTGTTTAGTTTATAGGGTTTAGTTTGAGTGAAAATATCATTGTCGGCGACAATGATATTTTCAAGTCAGTTTGTCGCTAATTTTTGGGGTCATGAATGTTTAAACATACATACATAATTTCCTTTTTTCTACATTACATTACATTACACCTAACCAGCCTAACCTAATACGTTACGAAACATAATATACAGAAGTATCTTATTAATTATCTTAAAAAGTAACTTATTATAAATATTTAAATTTCATTTTTTAAGATACCCAAAGGAACTTCATATACTTTTTCAAAAAGTAACTTATCTAGTAACTAAATTTATTTTTAGTGTATCTTTGACAGTTCTGCAAGTTGTAAGTAATCACATTAGTGGTTTGGTTATTAAAAACCGTCAATAAACAAAAAAATATGATGTGTGGCTTATCTATCACTTAAGTATTAATAACATTAAGATAACGATTATATGCAATGGTTACCAAAAATATAATGTTACCATAACAAGTTGGGTTGGTCCAATTATGTTTGTTTCGTCAACAATCGGGAGCTAATTAAGTTTGCAATGGCAACAAAAAGTATGAGAGCAATTAATATTTGTTACGGTAACTAACTTTTTAGTTGTGCCTTTTTCCAATAGTTTTTATTGTTGTGGTAACCAACGCTCTAGTAAAGGTTACTGATTGCTTTTTTAGAGTGCGGAAAATCCTATCTACCTCTTTGACGTCAATTCCAAAAAGTAGGTTTTCGTATACAGGTATTTCATCTAAGTATAATTGAATAACGAACGATAACTTTAACTTAAATTTAGTCATAGAAACGGACTGAATTGAGCACTTTTATAAGCTGCAGTAACAAAGGTCGTGAAGTAATACAAAACTACGCAATAAATAATAAAATCAATCGTAATCTTTTAGTACAATTATTGATTAATCGTGAGTTAAAATGAAATCCCGATAAAAGGTTTATTAACTTTTTACGAATAGTTAGGAAGATTATACAGTCTCTATATTTTTGTAGAATTGGTAAACAACGTTTTTTGGAGTTATCACAACAAATGTGCGAAGAATTTGCTGTTGAAAGTCCAAATAAAAGAACAAAAATACGTTTTGTTATCATTTATTTAATTTAATGTATAGGGTAAACACCACAGTTGTTGGCACTGTGGTAGTAATTGGCATTATATATTTAAAGTAATTGTAATAACACTTGTCTAGAATGTCTATTCATTCAGAGCGTTGTAATGCAATGTGGCATCAATTTTATGTCTGTCACATTAGTCATGTTTTAATAAACTCACTTTTGTAAATATGGCGGCTTCTTAAAAACAGGTGCGTCAGAAAAATTGAAATTTAAGGTAAGAATAAGCAAATTTTTAAGAAACAACATATTTTTATTAGTAAAGGAAAGTCACATTTAAAGCCTACTAATATTTTCCTGTTTATGGCATTATGGATCATAATTTAGCGTAAAAAACTCTTTTATAACCTATAAATATCAGCTGATTTCTTTATAATTAGGTGCCAATGACTGTACAACCATAATCGGCCATTTTACTGTTATTGGCACCGACTGCCAATTACTATGTATTAAGTATAATTTTTTGTTAATAACGTCAACTCTAGCTTTTAAGGTATAACAATATACACATTATAAGATGCTTGTGTAAAATATTTTAAAAAACTTATAATTTTTTGTAAATAACGTCAACTCTAGCTTTTAAAGTATAACAATATACACGTTATAAGATGCTTGTGTAAAATATTTTTAAAAAACTGTATCTAAACAGTTGTTGGCACTGTGCCAATCACTGCATTGACGTAGTGCCAATGACTGAATTTTTCTGAAACCTAAAATAGTTAGTAGGTTTAAAGGTTTTAATGATGATCTGATGAAATATTTCAACGCCCCCGGAAAGTAAATCCTACCTACCTTGTTCTTTGCAGACAATGCCTAAAACAGAGGATGGTGCTAATTTTAAAAAAATACTCTGAAGAAACACTTCAAAAGGCTCTTGATGAAGTACTTAGTGGCGCACCTAAAAAACAGTAGCCAAGAAGTACAATATACCGAGGTCAACCCTCCAGTTTAGATCTAGTGAAAAATGTTCCAAGTCTTCCCACGGCCCGTCTCCAATATTAACACTAAAGAAAGAAAAATTGTGTAGCTGACAGTGTTAAAAAAGGATTTCCAAAAAGAAAGGAGGATATACAAGCTAGCGTTAAAAATTTTCTTGAAGAAAATCCACGGCCAAATCCATTCAAAAATAATTATCCGGGAGATGGTTGGTACAAGAGTTTTCTCCGACGCAATCCAACATTATCGGAAAGACAACCAGAAGGTGTAACGAATGCCAGTGCAAATGTTGGTGATTGTGACATTAGAGGATGGTTTAAAAAAATGGAATCTTATCTAAAAGAAGAACACCTCTTTGAAATACTTCAGGACCCAACAAAAGTATTGAACAGTGATCAAACTATCATCCAATGGTGTCCAAAGACGAAAAATGTTGTTGCCGTTAAAGGAACACGAAATGTGTATGAAATAGACCGAGGAAAAGTATTATTCACATTTTCGGCAGCAGGAGAAACTACCCATCCACTGATAATATTCCCTTATAAAAGGCCCTCTGAAATATCTGCGTCAGTGCCGAAGCATTGGGAAGTTGGTATGTCGGCAAATGGTTGGATGAAATCGGAATTATTCTTTGAATATATAGGAAACGTTTTCTATCCGCATCTTTTTGTGGATGGACATTCCCCACACCTGTCCTATCAAGTCAGTGATCTGTGCAAGAAGAAAAAAATTGTCTTAGTCTCACTATACCCCAATTCGACACGAATCTTGCAACCCCCAGATGTATCGGCCTTTAAGCCATAAAAAAACTTATGAAAAAATGGAGTACTAGATTGAAAAAGAAAACATCCTACAAAAACACAAATAAAACCTTTTATCATGAGACAATTACCAAAACTCTGACCTATATACAATTTAAGGAAATCGTCGGTAAAAAACGAATAGATCTCTTTCGAAGTTTAGATGAAGCTCCATTTAGTAACGATGACTTCATGGCACTTTACGAAATATATAAAACATTTACTAACAAGGAAACAGAAGAAACCATGAACACTGAAGATAAAAACGATGACGGAGAATTGAACGAAAGAGAGAATTTAAATGTTATAACAGAAAAACCACAAAAAGGGCAAGCTGTTTTAGATGTGGCATATGCATCTGCAAATTTAGGACATGAAGAAATCAGTGAAATAGATAACATTATATTTACTGATTCAAAAAATGCAATCGAAATTCCGGAAAATTATATTGAAAAAGATGATTGTATTCAAACCTTGAATTTGGAAGACATTCCCATCGTTTTTTACCCTTCGCCAAATTGTGGCCACAATGGTCTTTTAAAAGATGTTCAAAATACATTCTCAGACATCAAATATGTCTTTGGTAGAGATAAACAAATATATAGAAACTACAGATGCTGCATCCACAGATAATATTGTGGTTTCGACACCTAAGTTAAAAGAGTATCTTACGTGGCCACTGACACCGTAGACGAAAGGAAAAAAGGACACAGAAAGGCTACCCTTTGTGCTGACTTCAGAAGAATGGCAAAGAATACAGAGAAAAAAAGAGCTTCAAAAGAAAACATTAGAACAAGATAAGGAAGAGAGAAAGAAAAAGCGGCTAGAAAAAGCAAATATGAAGAAGGAAGCAGAAAAGAATATGATCAAAACTAAGCGTCCAGTAGCTCTTCGAAAAAATATTGCTGCAAAGGATAGCAATAGAAATAATAAAAAAGAAGCAGATAAAAAGATTAAATTATTGTCTAATATTAGTATTTCACCTGATTCTAATTTTAAATGTTTACCTGTTAAAATTACTGATAAAGAAGATGTACTAAAGGTTAAGAAAAATCTTTTTAACAAAGAAAAAGATACTGAAGTTGGTATAGATATAAAGAAGAAAACTAACGATGGTAGTAGTATACAGCATAAACAAGTGACAAATGAAAAAATTAAAGGGATTTCTAATGTAACTTTTCCACCTGTATTAATCTCAGTTTCACCTGCTAACGAAGAAAACAAACCGAATGTTCTTAACGGAGAGACCGATGCAAATTTTGATTCAAATCATGTCGAGGCTGTCGATTTTTTGGAAAATAAACGAATCTTTTCTGGACTCCTATACTTTATTTGCAGTTTTAAGACATCTAAAATCGCACCAGGCATTAAATGCAGATTATGCGATCGCGTCTTTCACCCACGTTGGATAAGAAAGCATTTTAATATGCCTCCAATAGTGAAGCTTTATGTCTGCAAGGTTTGTTGTAAAACCAAGCTATAGGTAGTGGTTATGAAAGACCTTAATTTATTTTGTTTGTTTGTTTAGTTCAAAGAATTTTTATTTTGTAAAGTTTATTTTTTAAATATTCAATCAGCATTCTTAAGTTTTAACAGAATTTTTTAAAAAAATACTGATACAGTTCCTGTTTTTTTATTATTGTTTGACAAAAGTACCTACCGTAAAACGGGGTTACATTGAACTCTAGGGTAACATTGAACAATTTTGCAATGAAGATTGTATTTTTCTACAAGTTGGCCTGAAAATTTTTTTTTGGGACCGATATATTTTTTTGAGGGTTGCAAATATGTTTCCCTTGGACTTCCTAATGAAGTTTGATTTTAGGTTCTCAAAATTATTTTTTTTCTGAAACAATATAGGTAAAAAAAATCTCTGAAACTTTGGTCTACAACCCGCGTTATGCAAAATATATCCTTTAATGTCTGCCATTAGTTTTTATCTCGATCAGTGTACCATTGGTTTAAACCGCAATTGCGTCGAAAATATATGTGAGGTTAGGAAATATTGAGTCGTGCAGTCCATTTAAAAATGCGTGTTTACGTTAGAAAGTTGGGTAGTCGATCATACAAAAATTACACCCCTGATACTGTGGAACAAGCAATCCGCGAAATTAAAACAAAAAAGTTGTCACTTTCCAAGGCGTCGAAGAAATACTAGATCCCAAAAGAAACATTAAGCCACAAACTGAACAACAAAAAATTAAGGACGTCGGAAGGCCCCCGGTTTTAAGCAACGACGAAGAAAAGGCACTGGTTAATATGCTCTTGAAAACCGCTCAGTGGGGCTTTCCTTTGACTCACGACGATTTACGACATGTTATGAAAAACCATTTGGATACAATGAGTAGGTGAGTTAAGCAATTCAAAAATAATTTGCCTGGTGTCGACTGGATTAAAGGTTTTCTGAAAAGACACAGAGAAATAAGTGTAAGAAAATCTCAAAATATTAACCCAAATAGAGCATCTGCCACTAGAGAAGTTTTCAATGCATATTTTGATAACCTTGAGCAATGTCTAGACAGAGTTTCCCCCGATTGTATATACAATTTCGATGAGACAAATTTAGCGGATGAACCTGGGTCTACAAAATGCTTTTTAACTGAGGGGTGAAATACCCAGAACGTTTATTGTCTCACTCAAAATCAAATATTTCTTTAATGTTTTGTGGAAGCGCTTCAGGAGTTCTGCTGCCACTGTATGTAGTCTACAAAGCAGAAAACCTTTAGACAACCTGAACGGAAGGAGGACCCGATAAAACAAGATACAACCGCACAACTCATGGATGGTTCGATTCTGCAACATTTTTAAATTGGTTTACTTCTGTTTTCCTCTATTACACGAAACATCAGGAAGGAGTCAAAGTATTAATTGGGGATAACTTGGCAAGCCATTTCTCTCAAGAAGTTATCAGACTGTCGGTTGAAAATAATGTTCGATTCATATGTTTACCGCCGAATACCACGCATATCGCTCAACCGCTCGATGTCGCGGTGTTCGCACCACTAAAGAAACAATGGCGTGCAATACTCAGCGATTATAAGTTAGCAACGGGAACAACTGGTCTTTCAAAGGAGACGTTTCCAAAACTCTTAAAGAAGTTGATGTTAAAATTTGCAGAAACCAGTGAACAAAACCTAAGAAGTGGCTTTCGGGCAACGGGTTTATACCCTTTAGACAGAAACGAAATATTAAAGAAATTGCCTGGTACTGATGACACTGAAACAAATCAAAATTTCGAAAACAGTTTAAACGATACAGTTGTACAATTTCTACAGGGTATTAGGAACAAAAAGGGACCTAGAACTCAAAGAAAAAAGAAAATAAACATCGCACCGGGTAAAAGCATAGGACCAGAAGATTTTGAAATAGGGGAAAGTTCTGGATGTTCTGCACCAACCACCAAGAATAAGAAAAAGTCTGCTAAGGAATTGGGTGAATTTAAGGCGAGAATCATTAACAAAATGTTTTATATAAATGCATGTATATTATATAGCAGTTCCCAGAAAAACGCCAACCAAGCACCCAGGAGCTTGGTCAGCAAACCGAACTTAAATATATGTACTACATGTTTACAAACACTTTTATGTCATCCTTGGTTTTGATAAAATAAATAAAAATAATTTTTTTAAAAACAAAGTTTTAGTTTTTGGAAATATAAGTGGCGCAGTCGTTGCAGGATAAGCCTAACGATTTTTTCAAAAAGTGAACCTCGCGAGACCTTCACATCGATAAATTTTAATTCTTTATAGTGCAAAATCGAACCCAGAACTTTATAAAGTTCGAGCAGAAAATTGCAAATAGTGAACTACCAGTTCGGACGGACTTTCATTGTGCAACTTTCAAAGAAGTGATCAGAACACTTAAACCAAGGTTTCCAGAGCCATTAAAATTTGGCACTGGTAAGTCATAAATTTCATTAACGGATACTGATTTAGATATAGATCAAGATAATTTGATAATTCCTTTAAACTCCCCTCCTCTTAGGTTAAATTTTCAAAATTCTTCGACAATTAGCACCGATGATATATTAAATCAGTTGCAAAATATAAACTTAAATAGTAATTTAGGAGATACTATCAATTCGTTATATCTTTTCAAAAAGAATATCTAAAAATTATTCCTCAATTCACAGGTAACAAATCACTTTTAAGTGATTTTATTGCTACAAGTGATCAATTATTAAATAAATTTTACAATAAAAATGATCAAAGAGATTTTTTAAATACTTCTATTGAAATCTATTAAAACAAAGTCAAAGGTATCGCCGCTGAGGCAATCGCTTTATTTCCAATAAATACTTGGAAAGATTTAAAAGATGCCCTTCTGGCTTCTTACGCCGATAAACGCGATTTACAAACATTAATAATAGAGTTATGTAAAATGAAACAAAGTAACTTAAAACCTTTATAATTTTACGCCAAAGTACAGAAAAATCGTAATCTGCAAGTAGGGTATATCAACACCCACAGTACATACAAATGCACAGGATGTATTAACACTGACGACAAGTTCTCAGAAATTAGCGTTACGCGTATTTCGTAAACATTTAAATAATCCGCTTGGAGATTATTTATCTACCAGAGAATAGCCTAAATGAGGCACTACACATTTTAACAAATGACTTTAATATTCAAGATACAAATTCTAATTTTTCAAAAGCAAAGCTAATCTATAACCAAAAGCCCCTTTAATCGATACTGGTTTCACTAAATCATTCGTTAAGCCAGAAATAGTAAAAAACATTTTACAAAATATATTCGATACGACCCTTATACAATTTCCACCGCTCACGGCACAAGCCAAGAAAAATATAGCATTAATATTCCATGTCATTCATAACAGTTTCATTAAATTTTACATATTTAAGTTCCATAAATATTTCGATTGTTTTCTAGGGCTACCAGAGAATAGCCTAAATGAGGCACTACACATTTTAACAAATGACTTTAATATTCAAGATACAAATTCTAATTTTTCAAAAGCAAAGCTAATCTATAACCAAAAGCCCCTTTAATCGATACTGGTTTCACTAAATCATTCGTTAAGCCAGAAATAGTAAAAAACATTTTACAAAATATATTCGATACGACCCTTATACAATTTCCACCGCTCACGGCACAAGCCAAGAAAAATATAGCATTAATATTCCATGTCATTCATAACAGTTTCATTAAATTTTACATATTTAAGTTCCATAAATATTTCGATTGTTTACTAGGGCTAGATAGTCTTCAAAAATTTAATGCAACAATAAATTTAAAATCCAATAAGCTCATTTTACCTTAAACAACAATATATATTAAGTTATAAAATTAAGCGCCTATAACAACCATATAGTAGTGCATCCACATTCAGAACAAATATAAACAAAGATAAACGTAGAAAATATAAAAAAAGGCAATGATATTTTACCATACCAAAATTTTGGCGAAGTTGAAATTTTAGAATGTTTATAAGAAATAAATAATAATAATGCTTATACTACTATAATTAATACCACCAGTAAAACATTATGTATAAATTAAACAGATTCATTCGAAGTTATTCCCGAATCCGATTTTGAAATTCCCAATACTCATTAATGTAATAACTTTAAGTACTTTAATACTTCAAAAATTAAATTCGATTTAAGTAAAGTTTGCTTGCAGCACTTAAATTCCGAAGAACATCAAGAAATAAAGAAATTACTAATTAATGATCAGATATTTTTCATTTTGACAATAAAACTTTAACTTTTACCAACTCAATTAAACATAAAATTCAGTTAAAAAACGAAACACCTATCCATACTAAAACGTACAGATACCCATACGTACATAAACAGGAAGTAAAATCGCAAATAGAAAACATGCTTGAACAAGGCATTATAAAACCCTCCAAATCTCCATGGTCAGCCCCTATTTGGGTGGTCCCAAAGAAGTTAGACGCTTTCGGTAAACCTTAATAGAGAGTTGTTGTAGACTATCGCAAATTAAACGAGCAAACTGTAGATGATAGATTTCCTATACCTAACATCAACGACATTTTGGATAAACTCGGTAAAAGTCAATACTTCACCACACTTGATCTCGCTTCTGGTTTCCACCAAATAGAAGTGCACCAAAAGGATACAGAAAAAACCGCTTTTACGGTCGAAAACGGCCATTACCGGGATTTTTAGGCCTATTAGGGTACTACCGTAAATTTATAAAGAATTTCGCGAAAATAACAAGACCTTTAACTAGTTGCCTAAACAAAGATGCCACTATCAACATCAATGATCCCGCGTACAAAAATTGTTTTAATACATGCAAACGTCTTTTATGTAATGACAATTCCTAAATACTCAAATTTTGAAGAACAGTTTATTTTAACCACCGATGCATCAAATTATGCAATTGGTGCCGTTTTAAGCCAAGGACCAATCGGATCGGACCTTCCGTGCGCATATGCTTCTCGGACATTAAACGAACATGAACTTAACTACAGCGTAATAGAAAAAGA